TAGGATTACAGGCGTGAGCCACCGTGCCCGGCCTCTGTAGGTCATTTTGTATGGAGCCCTCCTTATCTTCAGTTCTTTTCCTCTTGAGCTGGTCTCATTTCCCAAAACAGATTCTTTTTCTCTCCTGCTTTTAAAATGAAGACCTGACTGTCAGCATTTGGGGAGCTCAGTGAGAACAATGGGCTAGGAGTCTTAGTATCCAGTAATTAAGTAATTCATTTACTTACTTGCTGTGTTTTACATCTGTCACTCCTACTTACAACTGTGCCATATTTACCCTTGTCCAGAAATCTTCTTTGTATTCTTTCTAGAGAATTAAGCTCTTGCCTTCTGTTAGGGTGTGGAAGGGAAGTTAAAATATGTTTAGAGTTGGAAAGAAGATCTAGGGGAACTAATCGCTTCTTGAATAGACTTTCACCCAATCCTCCTGTTTTTAACCCCATCGTAAACACTATTTCCTTAAGTATGTGTGCTGCCATTTTTTAGCTTTTTATAAGTTACTCAGTACAAATTGAGTTGTTTCTTGGCTTTTTCTACTCTCCGCTTAGGATTCAGCTTCTTGAGTTGATTACTTGTCCATTTGTTTTCCAGCTTTCAAAATTTTGTTGTATTTGTCTCTTCTCCCTTTTTTTCTGTTTGACGTCTCTATGATGAATAGGATTGGCCTATAATGTTCATTTCTTGTAATCTTGTTAGGTATTGGCATCTAGGTCATATTGCCTCATAAAACGAGTTGGGAAATGTTCCTTTTTCAGTTGTTCTTAAATGTTTGATGGAATTCATTTGTGAAGCTGAATAGCCCTGGAGTTTTCTTTATAGGAAAGCTTTTCATTACAGATTCAAATTCATTAGTAAATATAAGGACTATTAAATTTTCTAGTTTTGGTAAGCAGTGTTTTTATAAGATTTTGTCTAAAGTTTGAAATTATTAGCAAACAGTTTATAATATTCCTTTTAAGAACTTTTTAACATAATTGTGGGTTTGTCCAGTTCTTTTACTTCTGCCAGTTTTTTCTTTATATAGGTAATTAGGTGATACAAATATAGAACTGTTATATCTTCCTGATGAATTGAGCCCTTTATCAACTTCAATGAAATGCCCTAACTTATATCTATTTTTTCCTTCTTTGTCAGGTATAACTAAATTAGCTTTTCTTTTGGTTAGTGTTTGCATGGTATATATTTTTTTTATTATTATATTACAACCTTTCCATATCCATATATTTTAAAGGAACATATATATCATTGTCATTGTTGTTTTCCAGTCTGACAGTCTTTGCCTTTTACCTGAGGCATTTAATACAATTACATTTAATGTAATCTCTGGTTTATTGGGGTTTAAATCTAACCATCTTACTATTTGCTTTCTGTTTGTCCCATTTGTCGTGTTCTCTTTTGTCTTCCTTTTGCCTTCTTTTTATCGGCTACTTTTTATTGACTTGCTGGTTATACATTCCTTTACTAGGATGATTACAAAATACGTCCTTGATTTTTCTTTCCCATTCTCTTTGTCCTTGTGTGTTTTTTTACAAACCTCTTTACTGTTGTTAGGGGAGTGGCTAAATAAGTATAGTATATCCATTCAATAATGAGGAAAAAATATTTTTAATTGAACAAAGAAAGCAATATGCAGAACAGTGTGTG